AACCTTGGGCAAGAGATGCTACAGGGGTGGCGTGACCATTGACATAATGTTAATTGTAAGATTTGTGATGATTGTGAATGTGATGTGATTGTGATTCCTCACACATATGACCAGGGATGACACAACCTTGGGTAAGTGATGCTACAGGGATGACGTGACGCTGGCATAGTGTGGGATGAGTGAGGCAATTAACACGTATCACTTATGTCTATAGTGGCACGACCTTGGGTAAGAGATGCTACAAGGGTGGCGTGACCATTGACATAGTGTTAATTGCAGGATTTGTGATGGATTGGTGTGATTGCGAATTGTGACGTGAAGATGATGTATGATTGATAGAATTATGATATATAGAAATGCTTGTGAATATTTCATTAAGTAATGAGTTATGATGAGATTATGTTGTGTTTTTCTTTGTGTGTTGTACATATAGATGTTTTCTTTTCTCACTGTATAATTTGTGGATGTTTTAGGTGAGGAAGATTCGGCTATGAGTGGCATCTAGAATGCCAATAGTTGAATTATGGGTATGCTCTAATATTGTGACATTGGGCAGAAGATTTCTAGGACATGGATTTTTATATGGATTTAGAATTGTATTTATTATTTTGAAAACAATTTGTAAAGTCTTAAGTTTTATTTTCCAAGTTCTATTTATTTTGGATATTGAAGAACAATTATGAAGGTTTTATGTGAACCCTTTTACCAACGTTAAAAATTTTATTCTTTAGTTTATTTACGTTGTTACAATATATATGTGTTGGGGTAGTAAGGGTGTCACAAGTTTTTCTTTATTTATATGCATAAGTATTATAATCATAAAAAAAAAAACTATTTTTAACCACTTTTAAATGTTTATAGTACTAGATTGAACAAAAATTTAACCTATTTTATTAATATAATATTTAAATACCTAATTTTTATCTTTAAAAGTCATATTTTAATTATTATTATGAAATAAAAATTTTAATAAGCATGTGTCTAGATATTGAAAATCTTTTCTAAGTTTGACCCGAATTACACATTTCACATAACACACACACACACACACACACACACACACACACACACACACACACATCAACACA